AACCCTTCATTCCACCAGAATTTCTAATTCAAAAGGACGAGAGTCTAATTCAATTATTAACGGCGCCGGTGGTGTAGTGGTAAGCGGGATTACCTCTCACCCCAACAGGCCTGGGTTCAATCCCAGTCAGCGCCGCCGGGATGTTCTGAGGCATAACATCTCTGATCACGCCTTCCGTTGGTCCCCGGTTCATGAGTTTGATAGGTCGATAGGTAGGTAGGTCGACAGGTGTGGGAGCTGCCTTCCTGGCACGGCGGTAACATTGGTGCTCAGCACGGAAAACAAGATCGACGGAAAACAAACCAATGGAAAAAAAAATCAATCATTCAAGGATTTAGCACATTTATGACATTGACGTCATGTTTTGAACGCAAGAGAAAGAAGCCCATCGTCTTGATTACTTCAAAAAGCATCCAAGAAACAGATCGTTGAATTGAAAAACCGGATGTTGTGAAATATTACAATCATGCCAAGGGTGGTGTCGATGCAGGAGATCAAAGAACGAGAAATACAACCGATGCAAGGAGAAGTCCAGTGTGGAGCAAAAAAAAATTCTTTGAAATTATTGACATTGGATGCCTCAATGCATACATGATTTTCATCGAGCTGAACCCAAATTGGAAAAATTCAAATCCCAGCCGACATTCCGAATTTTTGCGAATTCTTTCAGAAGAACTGTCGATAGAACAAATGGAGAACCGATTGGAAGCTGGTCACCTTCCACAAGACGTAAGTGATGGAATTCGGGATCAATTGAAACGGTTTTGAGTATCTTAGGCAGTTTATATAATTGCATCGTCTTTCTTATGTCTCTTTATAAATTTTAAAGCAATTATTTTAAATATTAGAAACAAAAATTGATAGACAACGGATTTGCCTGCATCCACTTCGGATAAACTCAAAAACTCAAATCTCAAGCATAAGTTAATTCACCTATGAGTTTTGCCTTGCAATCACCAATGAGGGTCAAAAATTAGTTGCTTTATATTTTGGAGTTATTCAAAGTTAGTACTGTTATCTTTTTTTACATTTCATACAATTGGTAATTTGTATCTACAGTACCATATGATCGTCCTCGTGCCACAGTGGGTCTCTAAACAGTGCTGTTATTCTCTCTGGGAGGCTCCTTAATGAATGATATACGAGGATGATTTTCCAAACACTAACCATAATGTTGAACATATAGCTTTTGTTATTGTTGTGTTAGTGCCATTGGTCATATTTCATCGAGTAGATGTGATTTGATATGTCGCTTGATATGGTTGTGTGAGATATAAAATTCGATCATACGGAACCATAATTCGGAATATCTGGAACCGGTTCCACGGTGGCCGTATGGCTCTATAGTTGTTGTTTTAAGTGTCATTGGTCATATTTCGTCGAGTAGATGTGATTTTATATGTCGCTTGGTATGGTTATGAGCGATATCAAATTTGACCATACAGAACCATAATCCGGAATATCCGGAACCGGTTTTACGGCTGCCATATGGCTTTGTTGACGTCATATTTCATCGAGTAGATGTGATTTAATATGTTTCTTGATATTGTTATGACAGACAATAAATTTGACCATTTGGAACCATAATCCGGAACATCCGGAACCGGTTTCATGGTGGCCATGTGGTCTTATGAATGTTCTCTATCATTTCCAGGAGTTTCACGAAAAAAATCAATATGTTGTCGCAATGATATGTAAGATATATGATAAAGCTTGAAAAAAATACCCCCGTGCCAACACATTCTTGAATATATAGAAAAGAGGGAGGGTCATGAAGGGGATTACCACCCAACAAATGTAAGAACCACTCACCGGAATGATGTTAAAAAAAAAAGTAATTTTAATCGGCCATGACATCCTGAGGTACAAATTTTTGAAAATAAAAAGTTTGTCCCGGGCTTTTACGGGTTAAGTGATTCAGTTCATTGCGAAGTGATTCCTAAGGGTATGGAAGCGATTCAGTACTTTTCGAAGTGATTCCGAAATTTTCTCAAGTGATTCAGTACTTTCCGAACTTCCGAAACTTCTCTCCCATACCTCACCGTTAAGAAATTTTGAAAGCATCATCGTGTCAAAATTTCTATCTTGAGCCACTAAGTAGTGGCAACTTTTGGCCACCAATAAGGATTTACACCGTTAGAGGGTATCCTCAACCGGATGAACCTTTTAACAGTACAGTGGTAAATACTATTCAATATTGTTTTCTTCCCGATCAGGGGCGTGGCCTGTGCTAAATTTACCATATATGATTACGTTTAAAGTGTTTTTTTTTTGTTAATTCAAACGTGAAGTTAACGTTTTTCAGAGTTGTGCGTGATAATATATTACCTAGAGAAAGGTCTGAAAAGGGTAGGTTGTTAGCTCCGCTAGAGTACGGCAGATGCCTGTATATTTGAGGAAATACTTCAAATCTCCTCATCAATTCAAATATGCGTTAGGTAAAGAAGTGTGCGTTTGACTAGTACTATCATATTAATGGCCTTTCGCTCATTTGCAACTTCTATTCAATTTTCATACTGCCGTACTCTAGCGGAACTATCAACCTACTCTCAACAGAAATTTTTCTAGCTAATAAATTATCCCATTAAAGCTTCATGTTAGATCGCATTTCCAACCAACCCATTTTTGATTAATTGTTTCCGAATCATGTTAATGAGAGGCGCAAGTCATTTCAAATTTATTTATTTTTCTTTCAACATGTATGTCAAGGGCGCTAGCGACTTAAAGTGTTACGGTTTGTTTTTTTTCCTGAATATGTTTATCAAATGCACTAGTCATTTTAAATTTAACGTATTTAAAAAAAATCCATGAATTTGTCTAACATGAGCGGTAGCAATTTAAACTAATATTTAATTTTAATTTTTCCTTTGTTGGGTACGGTTCTTGTGGGAATTGATGTTTGTTGTGAATGGGTTTTCAGTCTTGATAAAATCTAAATACTGCTATTTTATGTTTAGTCCAACGTTTCGGTCTGTAATTATCCGTAATGTAATTATTGAATCCCTGAAGATGAGTCCTTAAAAGAGGTCTCAAACGGCCCGAAACGTTGGACAAAAAATAAAATTACAATATATTGATTTTGTCGAGACTGAAAAGCCATTTACAACACACTATAATTTTTTTCCCGGAACGTGTATATCAGGGGCGCTAGCCACTTCAAGTTTAAAGATTTTTTTAAATTTTAACTTGAAAAGGTTTACCAGGGGCGCAATTTATTTCAAGTTTATTTTTCCCCTGCACATATCTTTCAGGGTGCTAGCATTTAACATCGTTTATTTCATTTTCTCTGATCATATTAACCAGGAGTGCAGCCATTAAAAACTTATTATTTTTTTCATTTTTTTTTCCTAGATCATGTTTACCACGAGACATTTTTCCGTAAACTCGTCTACCAGGGACACTTCAAATTGAACGATTTTAATCATTTTAAACATGCCTACTAGGGGCGCAGCCATTTCAAACTAAACATTGTTTGGAAAAGTTGGAACCGTATTTCTTTGCCAAATCACGTATGGAGACACCTGAGTTGCTTTTCACGTACACCAACACCTTGCTCCTCAGCTCTTTGTCCCTAGTACCACTTTTATGATAGATGCGCTGTGCTCTATCCACACTCAGAGTATCCTTGTAACGTTTAAATACAAGACTCACCGTTGACTTTGGGAATTTTAACACTTTTGCTATTTTTGAGGCAGACCACGAAGGGTTCTCTAGATGTTTGTGCACAATTAATTTTTTTTCTCAAGTTCCATGATCCGTAATTTCGGGATGCGTCAATCAATTGAGAAAAACTTTTCACCAATTTCTTCGAAAAATGAAACATCAACAAGTGCCTGTCAAACGTTTTTTGTTCCAACCACCAGGGGCGCGGTGGTGTATTAAACCGTGCGTCCAGATTTACTTTGAACCGAGCTTTAGGATTATGCTGATGCACATGCAATAACTGATACACTTGCCCTACTAAAAAAATCAAAATGAGATTTAATCCGGCATTTTCTCATTCTCGGTGATTTACGTCACTCGGTTGTAATTGAAAAATTATGCAGAAAAAAATAAAAGCAAATATGATTGAATAAGCAAACAAATAAAAATTAATAATTTTTTTTTAAATCTTGATTTTCATAGAGTTATTTCCTACCCCAATTGGTCTGGGTTCAATCCTAGCCGAGGTCGGTGGGATTTTTCTGATGCATAAAAAATCTCTGGTCACGTCTTTCTTGGGAATGGAAGTAAAACCGCTGATTCCCAGCTAATGTGTGTTGATGGGTGAGATTTTTAACTATTTTTTTTTTCAAATTTCTCATGGATTGATTTTTGGCTAAAATTGGCATGAGCACTGGTGATTCATGCGCTATTGCGCTTACACTTGATGAAATGTCGTGTAAATTTACGCCCAGTCTAGTGCTTACTACGTGTGAGCTTTGTATCGCAGAAATTTACTACATTACGGTGTAGTACGTAGCTTTGGGTAACGTAAGAGAAAGACAGTAATAATTTTCGTTTAATTGACATAATATAAGATCGGTAGCCTAACGGCGCCGGTGGTGTAGTGGTAAGCGTGATTATCTCTCACCCCAGCAGGCCTGGGTTCAAACCCAGTCGGCGCCGCCGGGATGTTCTGAGGCATAACATCTCTGATCACGCCTTCCTTCGGATGGGAAGTAAAGCCGTTGGTCCCCGGTTCATGAGTTGATGGGTCGATAGGTAGGGTCCAGGTGTGGGAGCTGCCTTCCTGGCACGTCGGTAGCATTGGTGCTCAGCACGGAAAACAAGATCGACGGAAAAAACAAACCAAAGGAAAAAAAAAAAGATCGGTAGCCTAACATTCTTCCAATTCTATTTTCACTTCTACGACAGTATTAGCAGCACAACCAAAACACCCCTTCCAATGAGAGAACCCACATGTTGCTGGAACATAATAATATTTATTACCTTTCTCTCTTTCTCTCTCTCTCTCTCTCTCTCTCTCTATCTATCTCTTCCCGATTGTGCCTTGCCAGCGCGTCGGATGTGACCTAAAGATCGGTTCCACGAAGAAAATCGACGTATGCGGTGTGTGCGGTGGCGATGGTACATCATGCACCCAACCTCTGTATCAATGGGAGATAGCACCGATGTCGCTGTGCTCAGTCACCTGCGGGGGCGGTAAGTGAATGTCGATACCTGGTCCGAGATGGTGGGTGGTGGCATTCCGCGTATGGCGTCCATCCAGACACAAACGAAAATCCTCTTTAAATATTTCATTGTCATAGTTCGAGCGTCCCCACCAAGAAAGCGTTGTTATTCGAGCATGATAAAAGCCTCGATGAAACGGGAGATCCTCGTTTCGGCCTTTGACAAAGCACACTTGAAGAACCGGAATGCCTTTGCTTTGTTCCGTAAGAATTCTTTCTTTTCTGCATGCCTGACCGTCTTCTAACCCCACGTCCGAAGTACACTTGAATCGAAATTTGATCATTGAAGCGAGTTTCCTCTATCGCTATTAGCTTGATGGATTTTCGTTTGTGGTAGAAGATTTAATTTAAATGAAAGGCTAATTTTCGTGTATTTTCACTGTCATCAGGTTACAAAATGGCCATGCCAACATGCAGAAACCGTGTGACGGGCGTGGATGTTGAAGAATCGTTGTGCAATGCCTCATCACGACCGGAGCCCACTGTAGTACAGTGCAATACACACCTCTGTCCGCCCAAGTGAGTGTTTGTAAATTTTATTAAATATTTCGTATGATTTTATTTGCATATCCATGTCAAATAGAATTGGTTGCCAAACAACCAGTTCAGCGAAATCCATTTTCGCGAGCAGAATATTAATTTTATTCTCATTCATATCAAACGTGCCATATTGTCCTTTCCAGATGGGTGACCGATGAGTGGCGACCTTGTTCCAAATCCTGCGGAGGAGGTATCCGGGAGCGAGTTGTCGTCTGTGCCGAAGAGAGCAACGGTGCTAAAAACAAAGTCCCGGACGAGGCTTGCCGGGGCGTTCGACCGAAAAGTCAGGAAACATGCAATTTCCAGGAATGCCCCAAATGGGTTGCCGGCGAGTGGAGCGGGGTAAGTGGCAATGGGCGCGGGCATCATTTCAAACATTTCGATGGAATGCTTTTGGTGCATTTACAACAGCTACCGTAATCCGGGGGCAAATTGATCACTTAATAATGTAAATATATTAATAAATGTCTACATAAACAGACATAACGAGCCGTTGAAACTTCCGCAAACTACCATGGCTGCAAACAGTGTGTCGATTTATGATGTCCATGGTTGGTTCTCGACAGTTCGTTGCTCAATCAATATGATTGAGCCATGGCAAATTAATCTGAATCACATTTGAGTACCGCAAAAACTTAGGTCACTTCAAAGAATGAGTAAATTTCTAGTCATATATGAAAATGTCACATTTACTCATTCTATGAGCGACATATGTTTTTGATTATTTGATTGAACGGTACTCAAATATTAGTCAGATTAATTTGCCGTGCTTTGGGAAGGTATGGCCACAGACAAACAGACATAAAACAGAAGAAAATAGTTAAGTGTATTTTACATGCACACTAGCACCCTATATTATGCACATTCAAGCATTGATTTGCCACCGTTCATGCATTTTTTTTTCCTTAATTGCTGTTCCCTCGTTCTGTCAACACGTTATCTGTGTTAAATAAAAATAAAACAGATGCAAACCAGTGTTGTCAGTTTTATTAAATTTTCCCTAGATCAATAGAATTGATTGAATACGAGAAAACAAAATGAAATCCAAACATTTTCATATGTGTCATTCCTTATTTTTTATTAAACACGTTACTTTCCGTGTATAATAGTGTTAAGGAACGTTCACCAAAATAACTTGTATTTCTTTTAAAAGCTTTAAAGTACACATTGACTTCCCACCATAAGCTTTGTTTATTTCAATTTCGTTTTTCAATTTCAAAATAACATGGAGCGACCAATTTCATGATGTTTTCGTAAATCTGATGACAACAAAACCGCACCATTCACATGGGTTCACATTCGCCTCGATTCGAGGAAGAATATCCACCTACACGGAATCGAATGCCCTCCGGAAAGCAAACGGAAAAGCAACAGTGCCGACGATGCCTCTCAATCAACATGCTTACCATCCCCAACCATCGTCATCGGTCAGTCCTCGTTATCTAAATCTCCATCAGCACACTCCGTGTCGTGTGCCCCCAGAGGACGGTCCAGACGGTGCAAACAAACCATTTCCGCTGATATGGGCGATATTACGTACCGTAGCAGCGACACGGGATGATTTCAATTAACTTTTTCGCTGTAATCATCAGTAGCATAGATAGCCCGCCAACCGTTGATGGAGAATAACGGTTGCCCGAAAGCGTTCGCTCGTGACTCTCTTACATTGTTTAATTATGTTCAGCCCTCTGTGGTTTGCGCGATTGAGTATGTGAGGTCACGATCGTCAGCGATATGACGGCATTCGAAAAAAGTCCTTCAACAAACATTTACGATCTCTAAGCAATTCCAATGCTTTAGGAGTTCAGTTAATCAACTGTTAATCGAAAAGTTGCGATACCTTTTGCCGCAAACTACACTCATATACCGTAGCGCTCGAGCATGGTAGTGAAAGTTATCAAACGCGTTTAAGGTTGGTTATAAACTACTGTTCAACGCAAAATGATTCGTAGTTGAAATACTGAAAGCACACCTGCCGCAAATGTTCAATGGAAAAACTTTATCTTCGTTGACTAGGTACTTGTTAGCGGTGAGGTGATGTTTCAGATTTAATTATGTTGCTTGATTGGATAGTTTTATAATTATAAACCAAGAAGGAAATTAATTTTGAATTCTATTTCAGATTGGCTTTTTTCACAACATAAGCCATGAAAAAACTGTTTTTTTTAAGACTTGATTTCGTAAATCGTACAGAACACCAATATGTTTTTTTTTATACTCGTAATTTGTCCTTAGGTTAGTGCATGTCGTATTACTCCATCACTATTGAGAAATGATGAAGTATTCGATTTTTTCACAGTTGTCATTCTTGCATTTATCGCAAGGATCCGACTCTAATTGAAAGGTCTAGCTATTTATACCCTTCGGAGTGTTGGAACACCCTCCAAAGGCGCACCCCTTTGTCAGTCAAAATTGGATTCCTTAGCAACAAAAATAAGCTATGACACCGGTAATGACCATGCATCAGAACCCTAGTCTTAACCACTTCAAACTAGGGAACAACTAATAGAAGATTAGGAATCGCATAGGTGAAGACTTACTAACTATTTTTTTCCTTGTTTCAAGATCATCCTCGGTCCAGGCAACCCGAGGACTTATCACTATCAACAAGGCCTAAAAAGTAACAAGGACTAAGATGTGTTCATTTGATTACTGAAAAATCCTGTTCCTCTAGTTTGAAGTACTCAAGACTAGGAATCGGTGGTAGGTCTTACATCCCGTAACGTACCACGAAAAGGTGATCTACCCACGTTACACGCCCTACTTACTTACTTACTTAATGGTTCTGTACACCACCGGAGGTGCAAAGGGCCAACGTGAAAGACTTCCATCGTTGGCGGCTGCTCGCTTTTGCCTTGACCTGGGCCCAGGTCAGATTCCTATCGACTTGCTTTATTCCCTTGTTGATGCTCCGCCGCCATGAGCCCCTGGGTCTGCCTCTGCTGCAATGTCCTGCCGGATTCCAATTCAGCACTTGCTTGCAGATTTCGTTTCCGCCCAGTCAAAATGTGTGGCCGACCCACCTCCACTTTCGCTCTCGAATTTCTGTTGCTATTGGCTTCTGATGACATCGACAATAGAGCTCGGCATTCTGGCGTATAACAACACAGATTTCACGTTCGAGTTGAAAATTTGGATTTTGGTGCGTTGACTTATCTGGTTGGATCTCCATACGTTTTGTAAACTCTCAAAGGCAGCCCTAGCCTTCTTGATTTGTGCATCTATGTCAATCTTGGTCCCGCCGTCCGACGCTATTTGGCTGCCAAGATATTGGAAACTTTCGACCTTCTCCACTGCTTGCCCCGCTACCGTAAAGTTGGAAGGGTTGCCCGTGTTGATATCCAACGATTTGGTCTTGTTGACGTTGATGGTGAGACCCGCCGCAGAGGAGCGTTCGGCTAGGTCATTGAGCTTACTCTGAATATCAGAGCGCCGTTGTGCTAGTAGAGCAACATCATCAGCCAAATCGAAGTCGTTGAGATGCCCCATGGTGATAGGCTACCAAAGCAGCCCACGGTTCGATACACGGTCAATTGCACCTACCATGATCTCGTCGATTACGATGACAAACAGTAGCGGTGATAGTATACATCCTTGTCTCACACCAGCGACTACCCGTATAGGGTCGGACAAGGCAACGTTATGCAGAACTCTGCACGTGAAAGCCTCATACTGCGCTTCGATGAGGTTGACGATTTTATCCGGGACTCCCTTGCGTCTCAGGGCGCCCCACAGATTCTCGTGATTTTTCGTAGTCAATGAATACCAAATAAAGGGACTTTTGCAATTCATTGACCTGCTCCAGGATGATGCAGAGCGTGACAATATGGTCCAACCAAGGTCTTCCGGCACGGAATCCTGCCTGCTGCCGCCGGAGAGTCGCGTCGATCTTCTCCTGTATCCGATTCAGGATAACTTTGCACAGAATTTTGTGAACAATACACAGAAACATGATGCCTCGTCAATTTTCGCACACAGTCGGATCCCCCTTCTTTGGGACCTTCACTAAGACGCCCTGCATCGAGTCGGTTGGAAAAGTCGCGGTGTCCCAGATATCACAGAATAGTTGATGCAACATTTGAGTGGATAGCCTCGAGCCTTGCTGGATTTCATGCTTCGGATAGCTGCTTCAATCTTCTGCAGTGATGGGGCCTTGGAATTGACGCGAGTGATGCGCCGCACCCTAGGCGGATCATGCCGAGATGTTGATGGCTAGTTGGCCGTTGAAACTCGAAGAAATTGTTCGAAGTGCTCAAACCAGCGTTTCAGCTGGTCAGTGGGGTCGGTAAGCGATTGTCCAGTCGTGTCCTTCACTGGCATCCTCGGGTTCATCCTTGCTCCACTCAGGCGTCGTGAGATATCGTAGAGGAGGCGTATATCGCCAGTGTTTGCGGCTTTCTCCCCTTCGTCAGCCAGGGAGTTCACCCACGCTCGCTTGTCCCGTCTGCAAGAGCGCTTGACTTCCTTCTCTAGAGCCGAGTACCGTTGACGGGCTTCGTTCTTGGCTCCTCTGGATGTCGCCCGCTCTATCGCGGCGTTTACTTCTCTACGCTCCTCAATCTTCCATCAGGTTTCATCTGTGATCCACTCTTTCCTCTGGGTGCGCAACTCACCCAAGTTGTTCTCGCTTGTTTCTATAAACGCATTCTTGATGGCCGTCCATTGTTCTTCTACGCTGCCACCTTCTGGAACGTCCGCAGCTCGAGTCTAAAGTTCTTCAACAAAAGACCTTTTTACCGCTGAATCTTCAAGTCGGCGTGTGTTGGATCCGCGCCATGCGTAGGCGGATTTCGCCGATTAGAAGGTGATGGTCAGACGCGATGTCGGCGCTGCGTTTATTCCGGACATCAAGAAGGCTCCGTCTCCATTTTCGGCTGATGCAGATGTGGTCGATCTGATTTCCGGTATGTGCATCACGGGAAACCCACGTGACTTTGTGCACTGGCCGATGGGGGAAGAGTGAGCCCCCGATCACCATGTCGTTATTGCCTCAAAATTCTGCAAACAGCTCACCGTTCTCGCTCATTTCGCCGAGACCATGGCGTCCCATGACACGCTCATAGTCCGTGTTGTCGGAGCCGATCTTCGCATTGAAGTCGCCAGTGTAGATCTTGATGTCACCCTTTGGAACCTTATCCACGACGGAATTCAGTTGACTGTAAAAATTCTCCTTGTCCTGTGGATAGGCAGCATCGGTTGGCTTATGGTAAGGTTATGAACCCGTGTTCTAAATCTGGCAACGATTATCCTCTCATTAATGAGCGCAGCACTTGTCTGGACGCTAAGTAGGAGACTAACTCCACGATGGCGGGGAGCATTTTCACCTCGAATACCAGAGTATA